CAGGGGGGCGGGGCGCGCGGCGCCCGCCGAGCAGCGCGCTGGGCAAACCCCCTGGCGTGGCCATGCGGGGAGGTAAGTGGTGGGCTGGTGCGGCCAGGGCACGCGGACGCCCCCGATCTCTCCCCTGTCCGAGGTGAAAGGAGACGAAGAACGCCACCGTAAAGCCGCCTGCCCTCGCTGGTCCCCGCTGTGTCCGGCTGCTGCAGCTTGTTGCGCCCACGGGCTCGGACTCTGTCACCCTCGAGTAGAACTGGGGGCAGAAGCGTGCCCAGCCCGATGGGAGCCGGAGCCGCGGGGCAGAGAGTGCGGGACGGGGCCGGGTGGTGGCACCGCTCTGTTGGGCGCGCCGCGAGCGCCACACCCCCCTCACTCCCTTTTCTAAAGACCGACTTCCCCGAGGAGCCCTCAAACTAAAGACCAGCGAATCGTTTCTCCTTGGAAGTCTCAGCCAGAAACTTTCCCCTCTCTGTCGCCCTGCCACGACTCATTTGGCTCTGGGCAGGCGCTGCTGGTTCAAGAGGAAGCCTGGCGTCCTCTCCTTCCTCCACTGTCCCCTCTTCACTTGCCCTGGTAATGCCCTACCCTCGGGTGGCTTGGTGCTGGACGCGCCTGGGGGGCCGCCCCAGGACAGAGGCAGGGACAGGCCAGCCCTTTGGGACAGCGCTGGCTCTTTGGACTACCCCGCTCAGCCTAGGGGATGAGTTCTAATCAATAAAGCCAACCCGGGGCACCAGTTTCCCGCCCTTCCTGACCCCACTGCCCTCCCCCATCTGAGCCCATCCCAAGTGCGCCCGAAAGTTCTGCCCCAGGATCCTAACTCTAGCATCCCCGAAGTTATTTTAGCACATCCCATAATGGGCTGGACCAGAAGGTCTTGGGATGCCTCTCCTTTCACACACACACCACACACGATGTATACACCACATAGTATACACACACTTTGTTCATGCGCGCACACCACAGACACATCACTTGAATCAGCAGGCAAGAGGCTTGATGTCAAACGGAGGAAATGCAAGAACAGATACATAGTCATGAATGTCAGTTTATTACTAGTTAAATTCTAGCTGGTAAGTGAAACCTCATGTCATGATTTTTAGAATGCCTTTGTGGCTCATTTTCTAGAAAATGATTTCCTACAACACTTTCTGAAACCTTAATCGTATCTAACAGACGACTTTGATCACAGCAGGCAAGATGGGAGGGGATGTCTTTCTCTACAGGTAGAAAAACATACTTGAAAAAGCTTCACAGCATACTTCCTCCTGTGTGTGTTTAAGGAAGAGTGGGGTGGAACTACATTTCTTTGCCTCTTTCCCTTCAAGCATAGTTGAGGCCAACTCGCCTTTGTTCTGAGCAGTGTTGTCAGGACAGCCTCCTCTCTCCCTCCCCCTGCCCACAGGACCCAACAGTTCCTTTCCCTTTGGGCTTAGTTGGAGACTAGCTCAGGAATTTCAGCGCAAGTCCAAAAAGCATTATGGAATCTGTGGATGAAAGAGCTCTTTATCTCCCAAAGACTCCACCATCATTTGGATCCGCAGGGGCCAAAGATCCTCATCTTGACCCATGCTTTAAAAAAAAACAGTACTCCAAAATATTTGAACATTTAGAATTGGTCCTTAAATGATTATTTGTGGCAGTGTCAAAGATGGGTAGAGACAACACTTGAACTCTTTTTTGGCGATGTTCTTTTAGGAGGCTGAAGAGTCCCCAAATCTTATTTTACTCTGCGACTCAGATTCCAAGTTTAGATCATAGTTACCAGTCTCCTAGTGCCCTTGAAGACTACCTAAGGAAAGGGAAGCAGGCAGCTTTCTCCTCAATTCTGTTTGAAATCTACATGGTAATTAGCAACAGATAACTTTATCCAGGATCCTTCTGGAGAACTATGTTTTCTGCCCTATCTTGAGTGTTATCTTCTATACATGGTGACCAGAAAGTGTCCAAATGTTGGTTGGTATTTATTTCCATGAAAAGGCAACCACAATTCTGTGTATGCGCACAGCGTTTATGGAATGGGAATGTTTCCCTCCAGCAGTGGTTCCCAACCAAGCAAGGAAGCTATGAGACCAACCAGGGTAATTTAACCAGAAGATTTTGCCCAGCCTCTCTGCTTCACTTCCCAGTTCCCTGAGCTGGGATTGAGGATGGTGATGGGACTATGAATTTGGGGGCTGCTACAGTATCTTCTTCATGTTTAATACCAGGTGCTTATAGGTTATAAGCCTTGGTTGAATTTGTTGAATTATGCTTTTTGTGCAACTGGGATAAGCAGTTAGAATTAAACCTTCCAGAACAAATTGTTTTCATTTTGTAGAATAAGGTTTTGTTTGTTTCAGTTTGAAATTTTTTGCTGGCTTCATTTGGTAGGATGAGTGCCAAAATAAAAGAATATGGGTGTTTTCAGGAGATCTGCTCATCTCTTTTGCATCCTCTCTGAAACATGTTACTTTCAGCATAATGAAGTAAAAGGATTTTCTGATGGGCAGTGCTCTCCTTAAGCTCACAAAGAGATTACTTAAAAGCCAGCCTTGGGGACTTTGTCTAGGAATCTGTTAGGGAAAAGGAGTAACACAGGACTACAGTTTCGGAGTGATCACTCGTTATAGCCCATAAGTACTGGGTTCTTTCTTTTCTTTTCCCACAGGGGAGAAAAAGAAATAGTTGAAACACGACATTCGTGCTCAGAACAACAGCAAAGACATACCAGGCAGCAACAGTGAAGGGGAGGGAGAAAATGAGAGGCTATTGAGACAGCTTGTTTTTCCTTGTACCAGACAGGTGCATGGAGAATTCTGCACTTTTTGGACTCGTGCTTCATTCACTTCCACTAATTGTGTGGAAGGTAGTTAGCAAAAGTGAACAGGCACACTGTAGCTTTAAAAAGTCAGCCATGAAGCAGAAGGCAGTTGGTGCAGCTTGTGTGTGATTCCTAACGTCATGTTGGCTGAGAGCCAGCCTGGTTTTATTTCACTGTGTCAAATTGTACCTCCTTATTGAATTCCTTTGCCAGCCTACTTTGTGAAAGAAAACATTGGGGTTTCTTTGGCTGTTCTTGATAAGCCTATAAAAATGATATGTTTTAGTTGCTTATAGGTAGGTTTTCTTTTTACTCTTCCACAGAAAAGGAAAATAGTAATAATAATAAGACAATGTAGTGTGATGTTGCAGAGTATCATTGTGTTTTGTTTTGTTTTGTTTTGTTTTTCTGAGATGCTTAGAAAATGGTGAATGTGTAACAGTTTCCAACTGAAGTGAAATCATTCTTGTAGCATGGAGCAGCAGCACTACCGTCCTGGGTCCTCTCCAACGGTGTGTGAATGTATGCTAATATCTGTATGTATGTTAAATGTTGGATTTCTCGATCCGTGATCTAAGTGGCTTAGCAACTGGAAGTTTGTACGTGTGTGTTTCAGGAGTGCAGATTATCCCACACTTACAGTGTTATTTGTTAATCATCTACTTCTCTAACAGTGATAAAATCTTGTGAATATACTAAATGATGCACTTGCCATGTCAGAGTAATCCCTAGAGAAGGAGTGCCGAAGTATAAAGTGAATTGAGAGGAAATGTATTTAATTTATGGCTTCAGCTGAGATAAGAACAAACACATTTCCGGACTATTTTTTTTTTTTTTTTTTTCTTAAAGCAGTTTTGTTCATAGCTTTTTCATCTTGCTAATTGCATATTAATCATGAAGGGTTTTTATTTTTTCACAGTCCTCATCCTACTAAACAAAAAGACAGTGATAGATGCTACTGTATCTCCTTAAATGTTCTGATGATTATACATCAATTTGATGAGCTGCCTACACTGCCTTGTACACAGCCAGCACCACCTTTCTGTGCTAAGGGCTCTCTGGCATTTTTTGTGAGCTTCCTGCTTTCCCACAGCATGGCCATCTCACAGACGGGTTTTAGAAGCTTTCGTTGAAAATATGTGAGGTAGGGAAATACTTGCTGACAAAAGCTTTAAGTGCCCTTCTGCATTGCAATGAAAAAAAAAAAATCTAGGGGCAGAGGCAGTGGACGAAAAAACAAATAATTATTTGTAATAATAATTTTTCAAAATCACTGCACATGGTGGGAGGGGGGCGGAGGGGGGGTTGTTTTTCTCTACTTTGACTCATTTATGAGTTGCAATGTCTTAAGTGAGAGCTTGGCACCCAAAGGAAGCTGTGCCAGTTCACACAGCACTTGTTTTGAACGAAGATTCAATTTCATTTGCAAATGCTTATTGTGGAGGCAGGGAGTGCCGGTACAGGGAAAGCACCCCAATCCGTCTCCTCCAGTTCTTTGGGTTTAATCACATCTCCAATCACTGAGGGGACTGGCGATGCAAACAAACATAGGAGAACTGGTGCGAAGCTGTAAAAGGGACCATTATGTCTCCGACTCAGAGTGTATATTCTTCTCTCACTTTCTAAGAATTAAACACAAGCTTTTTTCCCTTATTGATTAGTTGCTGAAGTAAAGGAACCCTGCAGCCTTCCCATGCTATCTGTTGACATGGAAAACAAGGAAAATGGCTCTGTCGGTGTAAAAAAGTAAGTGAAGCTGGCTTCTGAGTTTTGCTTCTGCAAACAACCTAAGGACTCTCAGGACTTGGTTTCTATTTTTATACTTCTTGTTAATCTACTACAATACACAGTTGGGGGTTATCTTGACTTGTCTACACTGGCCACCAGTCTTCCTTCTCCCTCTAAACCCAGTTGCCTTTTTTGTGTTCCATTTATAAGCCAGAGATGAGTCAGACATCAAAATGGGCAGGAAAGGTTAGTGTGTAAGGGTTGGAACAAGGACAGATGCAGATTTCAGCCCTGTATTCTGGATATCGAAGCAGAACCTCCAAACAAACATAGACATGGGCTACTAGGATGGGGGCAGAAAATAGGGTTTGAGTGTTTTTGTTTTTGTTTTCTTTTTAATAAAATCACCTCTAACTCTGAAACCTGAGAGCTGTAGCGAAGGAAGGAAGAGCTCCAATAAGAATACTAAGTTTAACAACTCTGTCCTGCTTTCATGAACTGTTGGTTAAATGTGAAACATTTCTGTACATAGAATGGTATTCTATTTTGGTCATTGCTCTTACATTTGAAACTTCTGATTATATTTGTTGTGTAAGAGTTATGTGCTTGGTTATCTTGAATAGGAAAATTCAGTTCCATATGTAGCATGATATTGTGAAACAGAACAAAGCTAACTCGTAAGATATCTGTGAGTATATAAAAAAATGTGGGTTTTTTTTTCATGTAGGAGTTATATCGAAACTATAAACACCACTTTGATTACAAGGAGAAAGTAAGTTCCAAGAGGATGTTATCTGTTTAATTTCTTTCCTTGTCATTTAGTTTAAAATTGCTGTCAACTTGAGCTTTGGAGGAAACTAATTAAATGTAATTTATAGAAGCTGCGATAATGTAAATGAGGAGACAGTGTGCTATATGTTTATGAATAGAAGGTATCTATGTTCGCTTTACAGCAAATTTACATTTAAATTAACTTAATAAAATCTGCTTTTTAAAATTCTTGGGTCACTTATATACATCAGTGCATACTGCATGTTCAGTCCCACTCTTTTTTTTTTTGGAGAGGTTTTTGCTATAGGGCGCATGCGCTTGCCAGACAGACAGAGAGAGACAGAGACAGAAAGCGAGAAATCACCCCCCAGGGAGGATGGCCACGCCGCAATCCCTTCTCCATTCTCCTCTCTGGATCTTGGACATGCACACACACGCGCCTGGTGTGAGTTTTAAGCCACCCGGTCCGGGACGTCTACGCGGTCTACTACGTGAGAATCCAGCGACATAGCCATTAGGCTAACTGCTGGTTCCCCAGTCCCACTCTTGAAGTTCGGGGTGGGTAGATGTAGGAGGAATGAAAGAAAGAGATGCTTTGTTATGTGTGTTAGATCAGGGCTCGCAGTGCTTTCTGCGCCAATGGGGATGTTGTGTTTGTGATGTCCCAAATGTAGCCACTAGCCAGCTGCAGTTGGCTGTTAAGAACTCGAAATGTGTTAGGGACCAGCCGGTGGCGTGGTGGTTAAGGTGCTGGCCACTCCCACATCTCTGACCAGAGTTCGAGTCCTGAATCTGGTGACTTGCTTTCTCACTTCCTCTCTCTCTCACTCTCACCCTCTGTTTCTCTCTGGTCACATTAAAAAATAAATGAATGAATAAATAAAATAAATAATTATTTTAAAAAAAGAACTTGAAATGTGATTAGTGTAGTAGATGAACTGAAATTTTCAGTTTACTTAATGTTTTAAAATGAACAACTCTGTTATTAAAGTATAAGGTGCATGTGTTTAGATTAGAAGACTCAGTAAGTTTTCCCATCTGTATACATTTGTGAAACCACTGCCACAGTTAAGATAATGAACGTATTCATCATCCCTGAAGTTTCTTCATAACACTTTAATTTTTTTTTGAAAGAATTACTTTATTTAACTTCATTTATTTATTTATTTTTTAAAATTTGACCAGAGAAGGACAGAGAGAGAGAGAGGGAAAGTGAGAAAGCAAGCCGCCAGGTCTGGGACCTGAACTGCAGTTGGCCACGTGGGAGTCCACTGCCCCCAACCACCAGGCCACCTGCCGGGCCCTCTTCATAACACTTTAATCTCTTCCTCCTCTCCTTTCCTGCCCTCATCTCCCCAAGCAACTTTTAATATGCTGTCACTATAAATTAGATTACTTTTCCTAGAATCATATAAATGAACAAATGTAAACATGAACACAAAAGAGTTCAAAAAAATGTGGAAAAAAATGGAATTAAAATACAAGTTTAGAGGGTCAGTAGGTGGTGTAGTGGTTAAGGTGCTGGACTCTCACACAGCTAATTGCAGTTCGAGTCCCAGACCTGCTGGCTTGTAAATCATGCTGAGTGCATGTGTGTGTGTGTGTGTGTGTATGTGTGTGTGTGTGCGTGCATACCCCAAATCCAAGGAGGAAGAGGGAGGAGAAGGGATTGAAGCAGGGCCATCCCTCCTGGGGGGTGATTTCTCACTTTCCCTCTCATTATCTCTCTCCATCTCTCTCCAGCAAGTGCACCCTGTGGCAATAACCTAAAAATAAATAAATAAGTAAAATATAAATTTATTTTGGTGTAAAGGCCAACAAATGGTGTGGCAGTTATGTCACTCTACTCCCACATGGCCAACCATAGTTTGAGTCCCGAACCCGGTGACTTGAAACTCAAGTGTGAGTTTGTGTGTGTGTGTGTGTGTGCCCAAGATCATGGGAGGAGAATGGAGGAGAAGGGATTGAGGCATGGCCATTGCCCATAGGGGGTAATTTCTCACTTTTCCTGTCACTGTCTCTTTCTCTCAAATTTTTCAAAAAAATTTAAAATCCATACATAGTTTTTCCATAAAATGCATGTTCCATAAACTTTTAGGAATATACACGTAAATATATGGTCTTCAGATACATGTATTTGGTATTACTGAGTAATATTTCATTGTATGGATACACAACAATTTGTTTAGTGTATTCATTAACATGATGCTAGATGTTTGAGTTGTTCCCAGTTTTTAGGTGTTAGAATTAATGCTGCTTTGATCATTTATGTAAAGGTCACTGTGTGAACATATACTTTCATTTTTCTCCCACAGACAACTTAGGAATAGGATTGGCTAGGCTATATGGTAGCTGTAACTTTTTAAGAAACTACCAAACTTTTTTCCAAACTGGTTATTCCATTTACATCTCACTAACTGTACATGAGCATTCCAGTTGTTCTATGTCGTCGTGAACTAAGTGTGACCAGTCTTTTTCATATTAGACATTATATAAGTGTGGTATTAATTTTGATTTCCCTGTTGACTAAACTAATGATATTGAACATATTTTTGCATGCTTAGTTGCCAACTATGTATTTCTTTAGGTGAAGTATTGTTCAAATCTTTTGCCCATAGTTTTATTTGGGTTAGTTTTTTGTTAGAGAGTTATATGTATTGTGAATACAAATCTTTTATCATATATATGATTTGAAAATATTTTCACCCACAGTGTGGCTTGTCTTTGTATTTGTTCCAATGGTGTCTTTCAAAGTTCAGAAGTTTTAAAATTTTGATAAAGTCTCATTTATTAATTTTTTCTTTTATGAGTGGTGCTTTTGGTGTCATATCTAAGAAATCTTTGCCTGACCAAGGTCTCAATGATTTTCTCCTGTTTTCTTATAAAGGTATTTTATTTTATTTTATTTTATTTTATTTTATTTTATTTATTCATTAATTTGCCGAGTGAGAGAGAGCAAGTGAGAAAGCAAGCCACAGTCCAGGACTTGAACCGTGGTTGGCCATGTGGGAGTGTCCAGCACCTTAACCGCCATGCCACCCGCTAATCCCTCTTCTAGAAGTTTTATAGTTTTAGGTTTTAGGATTTATGACTATGATTTTTGTGTATTTAGGAAGATATATTTTGTGTGATATGTGAAATGAGTACATGAGTGTTTTTGTTGTTGTTGACAGTATTGAGTTTTTTGCCTACGGATATGTCTAATTTTTCCAGCATTATTTGGTCAAGTACTTTCTATTTTTTTTAGAGATTTTTTTCCTATAGGGTGCAAGCACTCTCCAGAAAGACAGAGAGAGACAGAGAGACAGAGAGCGAGAAATTGGGACCAGCAGTTAGCGTAATGGATATGTTGATGAACTCCCATGTAGTCAACCGCTATTTGAGTCCTGGAACCGGTGGCTTAAAACTCACGCTGGGCGCGTGTGCATGCGTGCCCAAGATCCCGAGAGGAGGATGGAGGAAAAGGGATTGCGGTGTGGCCATCCCCCCTGGGGGGTGATTTCTCACTTTCTGTCTCTCTGTCTCTATCTGTCTCTCTGGCGAGCACACGCACCCTGTAGCAAAAAAACTCTCAAAAACAAAACAAAACAAAAAAAACCCAGAAAGTGAGAAATTACCCCTCAGGGGAAATGGCCGTGCCACAGTCCCTTCTCCTCCATTCTTCTCTCGGAATCTTGGGCACGCATGCACACGCACCCAGCATGAGTTTAAGCCACCAGGTCCGGGACTCGAACCATGGACAACTCCATGGGAGTCCATCCACATAGCCATTACACTAACTGCTGGTCCCTGGTCAAGCTCTTTTGCAACCTTGTTGAAAAGTTAATAATAATATGCCCATGGCTCTATTTCTGGTATTTCTATTCTATTCCATTGATTTTTCTGCACATAGTTATGCCAATGTAACATAAGTATAGCCTGAAATCAGGTCATGTTAGCCATCCAAGTTTGTTCTTTTTTAAGGTTGTTTTGGCTCATTACATTTCCATAATAATTTTAGAATTATCTTATCAATTTCTTCCCAAAAAAGAAAAAAGGAAAAAGACACCCCTACTGGCGTTTCACTTGACGTTACAGTTGGCAAAACCTGCTCGCCTTCCTATTGAAATTTCAATTGGCATTGACATAGCTTAATTTGAGGAGAGTTAACATCTTAATATTTTGTCTTTCAGCAAATGAACAGTGTAGTTCTTCATTTACTTAGGTTTTCTTTAACTTCTCTCAACAATGTTATGTAATTTTCAGTG